TCCAACAAAAAATCATCAAAATATTTCGCGCGAAAAAGTACGGGCGGAGAGAGAGACGCAGGTGTACTGCAGATAGATACCAGATGATACGGATGGAGCCTCACAGAAAGGTCACCACTGCTACTGCGCACGCTCACACCTCACCCAACACCATCAGTCAGCCGTGTACGCAGGGCTGCTGCTGTTTAGTAGCGCAGGGACGAGTGAAAGTGTTTGTTGTGTGGTGTGGACGAAGCTCTCATGAATCAGCTGCTGCTGCTGCTGCTGCTGCTGCTGCTGCTGCTGCTGCTGCGGCTGCCGCTGTGTCAAGTGCACCATTTTCTTCCCTTGCTTACGCTCGTAGCAGCGGCAACGGGCTCTAAAAATCGCCCCCGACGCCGCCCTTGGGTGTATTTGGTCGCCCTGGCCGGCAGCGTGTGTACATTTCATTGTGTCATTGTGTCATTGTGTCTCTGTTTTCGGGAGTGGCTGCTGTGGATCAGAAGAAGATCGGCCTGCCGGCAGATAGACCGGCGAAGATAGCCGCAGATTGATTGACTCGTGTGCACTTGCTTCGCTAGCTTAAACGCTGCTAGCAGCAGGCAACAGGCTTCAAAAATAGCTCTCGATGCCTCGTATAATGTGTTCCTTTGGCCGCCTTGGCCTGCAGCAGTATGTACGTTTCATTATCCCTGTTTTAGGGGTGCTTTGCAGCAAGCTCAAACGATCGGCCGGCAGATAGATGACAGCAGGATGCAGCAGCAGCAGATTTGACCTGTGTCACCTCCCTCGCTTGGGGCGGTGCCGACAGCAGCCAACCGGCTCTGACAGTCGAACCCGACCTCCTTTATTGTGTGCCTTTGGCTGCCCTCGGTCCACAGCACTGTCGTGTGCTGCTGTATTGGTTTTCTCGTTTGTCGTCTACGTGTGTCATGTGCTGCTGCTGCTGTGCTACGTCTTTCGGGGGATTCCCGCTCGGCGGCGTGGCCATCAACCAATCATTTGTCGCTGTCCTACAAAATGCTCCACATAATCTAAATGTGATTGGTGGGAGGACGGGTATCTACCCGATTCTTTTACCCCTCAAAAAATGGACGTTTTAACGTATGGATGCTCTGCCGAACACTCAACAAGACAGCGAGCCATGAAAATAACCCTTTTGGAGAAACAAAATGAGGCAGAATCAACATGTAAAGTGTCGGATATATCAAGGGTCTTAAGTGGCAGATGAATCAAAAGACGAGCTCCATCAGTCTGAACAATCAGAAACGGGCAACTCCGCGGGGGTAGCCGCAGAGTGCGCCCGCCTTGTCCTCGGGGATAGAAGGACACAATATTTGTTGTTTCCTCGAGGATATCGGCGAGCAGGAAGTGTGGCATGCACAACCCCATGTTTGTAAGGCTAAGGTAGCGTGGATGAGCGAACACGGATCGAGGCAAACAAGACAGACGCGCACTACTTCATATGACGTGGCACAATGGTAGGAGAGAGTTTTGAGGCCGGGACCGGGGGGGCGCTCAGACAGCTCGCTGGGTCGCAGACACGGTGTATCTCGTCGTTCTGACGTTCTGACCCTGCATTGGTGCGCCGTGAAGTCTGGCGGGGCTGGTGTGTGATCGTAGACACTCAAGCAACGGCTCCCCGCTGCACAGGGCATGGTACCTACGGTTTTGGGGGGGAGTGTATGATGTGCGGCCTTCCTCCGTCGGGGGTTCGACTCAAGAGAATTCGACTGGAATGTGGCAATTTCTCTATTGCACCGGCCAGAGGCGTAACAAGCCAGTTTTACTCTCATAAACCGTATATTCTCTTCAATAATCTCACTCTTTGGGGTCGATCGTCTGTATCACGTTTAGTTTTCTGGATCCGTGCGGGTACTTGTAGAAAACAAATCGCACCTTGAAGGACTCTTCTGGGTTGCGTCCATTGTTATTTACTTTTAGAAAGGTGTACCCCCCTCTGGGGGGCAGTTGGCTTGTGGTCACGGAAGGCGTCCGTGTCAGTCGGATCATTACGGACAATACAAGGTACTGCGTGAAGACCGAAACGGTCATTGTTGTGAAGACAACAATGACGACAACAACAACAACAACAACAACAACGTCAAACCTTAGCCACCCCTGTGATTGTACTTGTCGGGAAAATTGGAAGTGACCGAAAGTACGCATACCGCAAGCAGAGCCGGCCGGTAGCGGCAACGCTAGTTGTATCATAGCACACATCGATTTCAACATTTGTCAAGGTTTGACCAAAAAAATTAACAACGAAAGATCACACCGTGTGTGACACAAGGTACCACACCCGTGTGATAACATTTTAGAAAGTCCAAAAGCTATCACACGAGTACGGCACTCTGTAGGGGGTGTGATACCTTGTGTGACCCGTATGATGAACTGCTCTCAGAGGATTCCACCCCGCAGGGGGTGTGGTAACAGGGGTGTGTGATAACAAGGGAGAGTGGGAATGGCACCCATGGAATGAACTGCGCCTACACGACCCCACCCAATTTGTGGTATCTGTGTCGACTACGGTAGTCAATCCCTGATGGGTTGAAGACAGAAATGAAAAAGGTGAACAAAAACGAACCTGGGTCAGTATCAACCCAACTCCTTCCTAACAAAAAAAAAGCTCCGACTTGACAAAAGAGTCGTGTTCGTGAAAAAAAATAAGAGGCGTTGAGGACTGTTGAGGAAAATAATAACGAATTGGTCCTACGTACAGCGTGTGTCGAGCTCTTCTGCATAGGAAAAATCTAAAGAAGTATGCTATAATCAGCTGCGTATATATGAACGACGTCTTCACGGCCAGAGATAACAGCACGTCGTATGCATACAGATGGCGCCCGCACCTCAGAACCTCCAGTTTCGGCCTAGGCTGGGGTTCTCATAATGCCGATCATCCTCTTGTGGGCTACAAATCGCCACAATAAACTTTAGTGTGGGGGTTCTTAACTGGGCCCACAAATGGTGCTCAAGTTCTCAGCCTCTGATTTTTTCGAGTCTCAATTTCTTAACTGCCAAGTTCTTAAGGGCGGGCGCTATCTGTACCCGGACAACCTCCTGCTATGTTGCCTAATTTCGAAAACAAACGCAAGAGCGCCAGAAAATGCACTAGAGACACATAAGACCAGTCGGAAGGCATCGCAAAAAAAACAAGTCCAACATTCTGGCCCAGGGCAGCAGTAGAGACCGCTCTAAACGTGCTTTTCGCGCGTCTACCTCCACACGCATCCTTTGAAACCAAGATAAAAATCCACACCAGTATAAATTCAGAGCCCAAACGGAAGGCGCTCAAAGAAGGCCGGTGTTGCTAGGAACCTGGTCCATTGTACCAATATCACTAGAGGACACCCCATAGCAGCGGGGGGGTGTGTTGGCGCGCTCAAAACTTCTTCTGTGGTGGTGGTATCGAGTGTCGTTGTAGTGGCCCACAATCTCCGCAAATCTCCGCAAGTTACATCGACACCCAGTGTCTTGTACTGCTTGTGCTCGCCGCCACTGAACCCAATCTTCTGAACTGCAGGTTTACAGCAGTAGCTGATGCCACCAGCTACTGCTGACAACCCGCAGTTGAGGGGTTTGCGGTCCATGGTGGTGAGCACCGCTGTGACAAGTGTTGGGTTCCGCTTGGTTCCGGCGCAGATTTCGGACCGTTTTCCGAGGCTGCTGCGACCTTCGATATTTCAGCCCCAGTAGTATACCTGAACGTGCCAGCACGCACGACGCCTCTTGATGATATCCTCTACTGATACTAGCACAACGGACCAATTCCTCCGGCGGGAAGGTTGTTTTCTTTCTTTGTACTGCTGTAAAGTATGAGAAAAGAGCCAGCGTCAGAATCCCTTGTCTGGGTACAGTACCCTTAAAAAAAAAAGCAGTTTGTCATGTATGTACCACGCCAAAACGAAAAACCATTCGCCGCGCGGAATAAAAAAAGGGACAGAAATAAAATACTCCGTCCGGAGAGAAAGAAAAGACCGACGTCACACCAAAGCGTCCTCTATCCCTGATTGTCGGATCGCCACGAAACCGTCAAGACTGGTTGATGTACACACACAATCTACTACTGTGGGTCTCCCTCTGGTCGTGGTTGCTGTTGGGTTGAATGTGTGTTTCGCAGCAGCAGATGGAGGTGGACGCTGCGTGTGGATATGTTTCGCCGACGAAAGGTTCTTTCTTCCGTAAGCGAACTAACTTTCTGCCCACAAGGATCTTTCAGCGAGGAAATTGGAAGGAAGCAGCTTTCTGTCACGCGAAGAAGTCGGAGGTGTTGCTTGCCGACTGCTGCCGTACCCACGGGCTCACCGTTCTCTACCCATGCAAAGCCACCACGACCAGCTTCGGATCAGGCCCGCAGCAGGTGGCGTGCACAGCCACTAAAGTTTTCTCGTTGACCTCGACCATCAGCGAAGGAGGTCGGTCGTCCGAGGGAGGTCGGTCGTCCGTACACGCATCTATGTATCGATCGCCGGAGCAGAACGTTATTCATCGCGTGTATTCGATCTGAGCGCCAAATAATTTGGTACCTCTTTTGTTTTGCTTGCACCGTTGTGAAAACTTCGCATGTACACTCAACATGCGCCAAAAAGTAAGATTGGTGACCCGATCAGTCTTGAGGGGGTTGGAATCAATGCTGACAAGGGCCAGACAAAATGTTCTCAATTCTCTAACGGCAATGAAAACCGGGTGGACGGTACAAGAACAAGCTCTGCCGATGCCGGCAACCGCGCCATAACTGTTATTTCAGGAACTATTCTGAAATATCGTGAAAAAACAGTTACGAAGGGGCATTGCCGCCGGATGTGCAAAACAAATAGCCAGACCTTGACCGGGGCGCCAGCGCAAGCGACAAAATGGATGGTACAAACGTGTGGTTGATTAAACACGAGGGACACATCCAACCCAAGCGCTCGGCGCTCAACATGCGATGCCTGCGCCACAATGGCTATAGCAAATTCTGAACCATTGGAAAACATGTCTCCTTTTCGTTTGTTGCCCCACTTTCTGCGCCGAAAAACTCTTCAGCAAACCGCCCCGGCTGCACAACGACTGACACCAAATCTTTGCGCGGCTGTTTCACCTCTCCGGTACAGGGCCATCTCTGCAACCGAGAGCTTCCCTTTCGCGAGCATCTTGAGCTGCTTGCCGAACGTGCTCTTGCCCGACTCTCCGGCTCCCAGGAGCAACACCTGTGTCGGGACGGCCGCGTGCCAGTTGGTGGGTGGTTGATGACGCAAGGGTCGCATGCTTTGTCATCAAGGTATTCTTGTTGAGGAAAACGAAGGAGAGATAAACTATGACCTTAGGCACAACCCGCCGGTGATGCCAACACGAGAGGACACGGACAGAGACACCGAGAGCATCGCCGCCATCGCTTCTTGTCGGACAACAGTTGGGAAAACGCGGGGATAGACATTCGGGCAGGGAACTCAACAGCTGCTGCTGTTGCAACGCTCGAATTCTAGCATATTGCAGGCTCGCAGTCGACCTCTCTCCTGAGATTCCCCGTCACTTCCCTGACCTGCCCAGAGAGGGCAAACGGCGTTTGCTCGTTATGCTCATGTTTTGCTGTCACCACCAGCATGTGGGAACCGCACCCCACAGAATGACCTCTTTCTTTGGGGCAACGTGTACCGAAGTCCTCTCGGCAGGCAAACGCCGTGTACCTACGTATGGCTTTACCACGAGCCGATTTAGTTTATACCCAAAATTTGCAGCTCAGCGTAGCAGAGAAATTGAAGTTTACACATGACACACATACACACCCGCGCCTTGTTCACCTTGCTGTGGTAGTGGCTGTTTCTCCTGCACTCTTCCAGCTCGTCGTCAACCTGCTTGCTTGGCGTTACATCCCCGTGCTTTGATTCACCACAACCCATTGTCCCCCTCGGTCGCCGATAGCCTATCCACCTCGCAACTTCTTCTGCTACCCGTCGCAACCAGAAGCAAGTTCCGCCTTTCTATCCTGGTGTGATGATATGATGCGATTCTACACCATTGGTGCACGTTTGACGCATGAGAGCCAGCGCCCGCCCGCCCGGTGGGACACAGACAAACCTGCAACATTATCCACGGTGCCCCCCCTGGTCTGCACACTCTCCTGCCACCTGCCTCACAACTCACTCTGCCCCAAACCTCTCGTTCTGTTGTTCTGCACACTGCACTCTTCTCGGCGGAAAACAACGGAGTGGAAGTTTGCTTCGTTGAGGCAGCAGCAGTCCGGAGACCGGAGACTCTCCAAACATTTCATGTAAGGACGCCTCAGGTAGCGGAATTTGGCGCGAGGTATGTGCTACATGTTGATATGATAATGTCATTGCGATACGACTGCTGTGGCGCATCCCATGCTTCATGCCAGACAGCAGTTTGCTGCATTATGAGGCAGCCCTGCGGTAGATGGCAAGCTCCGTGTAGGCTCTCTATCTCTGGGATCACCCCGAAATGTTCTTCGGCAGCAGCACATACGTAGTTCGTCAGGTCGTCTGTTTTTGATCTTCTCCCAGCAGCAGTCAAGATCACGAATCCCCCGTCAAAGATCACGAATCCCCCGCGAAACTCGCCGCTTCCGCCAACTGCTACTTACGATCCCCAGCTAAACCCCATGGCGATCGCCGGTCGTGGCAACATTCTTTCAGCGAACCATCATGTAGATGGGACCGATCCTGGGTATGCCGCTGCTACAGCACGTACTGCTGTACAGCAGTACTATTAAGTAGTCTCGCTTCCACAGGATAAGATGTTCCACCATCACGAAGGAAGGTTCATGCTGTCTGGTCGTTGAGTCTCTCTGGTCAAGGTCACGAATCTCCCGCACAACCACCCGCCTCCGTCGATTGGTACCGCCATACCGCCGCACGTCTCCCTCGCCGCCGCCTGGATTCACCCTCTCCATCGCACTCGCCGCACGTGCCGACAGCAGTGTTGGGTCGAGGCTATTCCTCAAGCCCGCGACAAACATCTAAACTATGTGCATTCTACTACTGCAGAACATTTTCAACCCCTTCGAGTCGTCCGGCGTTGACTGATGACAACAATGTAATTGAATCATCATTTGGAAATCTCGGTGTGGTGGCACGCAGTGGTTTTGCCGCCCTGTACCCTTCACGCAGGTTGTTGGCCATTCCATTGTTCGGGTATGCAGTTGTGCTCGTGTGCTTGCTTGAGAAACATAGGAGCTCTAGTCAGACGGCAAGGCTCACACTGCGGGGGGGGGAGGACTTAGTAGGTAGGGTCTCCAAGCCCTCTCACTGATGATGTTAGTTGATCATTAGAACGTACTGAAAGTAGAAAATAGAGGAGCTGAGGTAGCTTGGCGACTGATCATTTCAAGGTCTACGAGGCTAACCCGCCCTACCGGCCGCGCCGCGACCTCCCATTAGCCTTTCTATGACCCTCTGTGGCCAACACCCTGTCGCAGGCTGGCTGCCCTCATGATCTACAGGCGGAGATAGCTGCTGTTGCATGTGCACAAGTACGCTTTGTCTCTTTTCTCTGCGTTTTTCTCTCTCTTCCGCTCTTCCTCCCTCCACCCGGACTGTTGTGTGGCAGAAAAATAGAACACCATCGATACGGAACCTGCGACTGACGGTCAACCTCTTGTTCGGCCAGCAGCCTAGACCCAAAGGGCCCAATAATCCAAGGGAAAATACCGGCACTATATCGAGCACACGGCACTGTTCAACGAGTATGAGACAACTTCAATATTCCATCTGTGCCAAGCGCTTTCACCAGCCTTCAATAGGGACCTGTGCAGAAATGCACATATTACCGTAGGTTGTATGAGATATCGCACGCCGTGGACTGATGTCATCACACGATTGCTCCGAGGCAAATAGAATGCTCAACCAGATAGTAGTGCGTTGTGGGAAAAGCTCTCGACGAGACGGTTCCAACGCCGCCATTTTGGGCAGCTTCGCAGTTTGTGCTGCAGAGTACTTGGACTTTGAAAATCGGTCGAACGGGGATCTGCGATCAATTTTTGCAGCATTCTTTGTCGCCAAGCTAACTAGTGATGCCCCATTGCCAATTCGTTGAGCGTTACGCCTTCATACGTAGGCTTGTGCATAGGAAAACAATCCATTGAAACTGAAAATCTGAGAATGCCATCAGGCTGTCGTGAATTGGTGGTGGACCAGAATCTTTGGTAATGAGCTCCGACCTATTCGTGTGTCCGCTACCGTTGCTGATAGCTCTTTCGTTGGCCAGACGCTACACCTTGATTCCAACCTACTATTCGTACTGACCAATTGTCAATCGTCTGATCGCGATCGTTGCCCTCCTCGCTGCTCTCTCTACACACAACACTTGGCCGACTCCCCAAGAGAAAGTATGCCTCGCTTCGTGGTAACGGGAGCCAACAAAGGCATTGGCTTGGAGATCGTTAAGGCTCTCCTCAAAACCAACAAGAACGCCTTCGTGTTCCTCGGTAGCCGGGACGCCGCACGTGGCCAAAACGCCGTGCAGTCACTCCTCGAGCAGAATTCCGAGTCGTACTCCGGGCGAGTCGAGGCCCTCCAGATCGATGTGTCCGACCCAAGCTCTGTCTTGCAGGCGTCGGAAACCGTTCGCGCACGCCTCCAAAGTGGTGGCGGCGGCGGCAGCGACGGGACTGGGGCGCCGTCACCGGCGTACTTGGACGCCCTCATCAATAATGCCGGGATGATACCCGAAGACGCATCTTCCCCGACCGGATTCGCGTCGTGCATCGACGTGAACTTCCGCGGCGTGGTTCGTACGACGGAGGCATTCCTCCCGCTCCTGAAGCCATCGAAGGGGCGGGTCGCCATCACCTCTAGCTCGTCGGGACCGTCGTTCGTGGCCAAGTGCAGCCCCGAGCGCCAGGCCCTCATGACCGACCCCGATGTCACGCACGCACAGATCACCGCGCTTGTTGACGAGTGCTTGGCCATTGCGTCTGCCGACGGCAGCCTGGAGGAAAAGTTCGCCGCCGTTGGCCTGTCCGGAATGGATGGGAAAATGGGTGTGTACGGGCTCTCGAAGGTGCGTGTTGAGATAATGAGCCGGGACGGGCAGAAAGGAGCGGTGGAGATGGTGCAATGATATGTATGTGGTGACGTTTGTTAAGATACACGGCGCATCTTCTGGACTACACGTCAGCGGCTGACTTGTGATCTGTTGCACTGCTGTACCTTAACATGATGTTTATGTGTGGACCGTCGTCCATCCGCTCTACATGATGTTGATGTGTGGCCTGTCGTCCATCCGCTCTACCCAGTGTCATCACAACGGGCGCAGGGTTCTTCTCACCGATCAAGGTGCTCTCCTAATATCTCAACAACCAAACCCAATGTCAAAAGTGCCGTTCTGACCAAACGTGTGTTTCATCTGTGCCTTCCCTCACGCACACCGCACAAAAATCGAACAGGCGTTGGTCAACATGTACACCATTCAACTGGCACGGGAGCACCCGACGCTCATCGTCAACGCGTGCACTCCGGGCTTTATCAAGACTGATATGACCGCTCCTTTCGAGAAAACCATGGGCAAATCCCTCGATGAGATGGGCGCCAAGACTCCCGCAGAGGGCGCGAAAGTTGTCGTACATTTGGCGACGGGCGAGGTTCCCAGTAGCGGGTGGTACTTCGGCAGCGACCTCCAGCGGTCACCGCTCGGTCGCTACAGAAGCCCCGGTGACCCCGCCTACGACGGAAAGTAGATATCCCGCAGAGTTCGCGAAGTCTGTCGGGCGTCAACTACTGGTAGAGGCGAGGTTGTGTTTTCGCGAGCATTGGCGTCGTTTTGTGGTTGCCTGGCTCTGTGTCTATTGGTTGTGGCTTTCGTGAAGACTTTACAAGCCAGGACAGCGGCTGGTGTGCTAGCGGGCCGATCAATGCCACCAGGGTTGAGGTATGTGCTGCGATGGTGGCCGATTCCATCGTCTTCGAGTTGTTGGTTCTTGTGTCTACGAACAAACAAACACCTAATGTCGTGGGGTTGCGAGGAATCTCGAGCTACAGCAGTTTTGCCGGAGACAACAGAAGTACATGTCACGCGTTGGGCATTGTCCGAAGTTTTACGGCCGCATGTGTAGCTTCTTTATTTTCTGTAAAGTTGTGCTTAGTCGATCAATGACAATGGTTGCTGAGTAGAAAGCAAACAATGATTTGTTTTTCGGTTGGTATATGTCGATGCATTCGGAAGTTGTTCATCGTGTCCTGTAGCTATGGTGGGGAAAAAAAAAAAAGGCCCCTTTGGATCGCGGTGGAATAGCTACGTATCGTGTTCTCCATGGGTGTTCGACTCTGTCCCTCCCTGTAGTTTTATTGTATTGCGCGCGATCTCTTGATTGTTCCCCTTAATTCCAAACACGTAGCCATGTATTTAGTTTTTCACCGTGGGGGACGTCGTGAATCGTGTACGCCTGTATCTGACCTCTATCTGGCCTGGCATGCATGCCTTTCTTCCACTCTCGCAGATGTGAGGCAGTCTTGAACTTGATGTTTGACATATACATTTTGGTTCTCTTGTGAATATTGTCGGCAACAAAATGAAGAGGGTCCGGCATGTCCACTGATCGTTACCGTGCCAAGATGTTCTTCGCTTGATTCTGAAGCTCGTGAGAATATCGTAAAACTAGGCCTGTTCTCCACTAGGAAGGGTAGAAACCCGGACAGCAAGAAGCCATCTTCACGCCACAGAAAACCAGACGACGGCAACGTACATGGTTCAGTAGAGATAAGAGTTGGGAAAGCCACTTCTCTCCCCACCCACGCACGGATCACATGGACATCCCGTCAAGCCACCGCCATAGACTAAACCTTCGCAGAATGCCCCCACAATGTATTAGTAATATTGCCCTCGATCTGAATGTCAGTATTTAAAGGGCAGCCTATTTCCGACGTCCCTGCTGCTGCTGCAAATGCCCCGTTCTTCACTTCGCCACACACATCGACGGCGAAGCTCAGGCACTTTTAAATGATTATCTACTTGTCCCCGTGCCGTTGAGTTCGCCGCTGGGCATTTGTTGTAGGCGCCTGTCTGTGGGCGTTATATATATAGTATATAATATTTATTTGACGGTTTGGGACCCAAGAAAAAGCTGAAATAAGGAAATATATTTTGAGATAAGCCACCTTTGTGTTTTGCTCAAGAAATTTGGATTATTAGAAAAGGCGACAAGAAATCAGAAACGCCGAAACCAAAAAATATCAAAACCAAAATCCAACCTATGAGCCGAACCATTGACTTCTTCTCGGACTCACTAGGTATCACTTATCGGGCCAACCCGACGTCTATGCCCAGGTCATATCCCATTGCGCGGCCCGATACTCGGCGCTCTTGTCCACGCTACTTCTCCCCTTCAGCTAGACGCTAGTGCACGCGATACATAATTAGCGCCTTCGCCTCCTGCCCTCACGTACGTCATAAAGGCTCCTGACTTCCACCTCCCCGCCCTCTGAATCTGAACAACCGATGCGCCCTGCTTTGCTAGTTGCGTAGCACCACCTATCCTCCCTGAATGCAGCGCGAAGTGCGTGGGGTCTTCTCCTACTCTTTTCGCCATGTTTCTCAGCACTGTCGTTGCTTCCGACCTCGACACTACTGCCCACCGTCCCTGCTTGACCGACTGCATGAGCGGCGCGCTACTTCCTAACTTTGGGTGCACGTCAAGCAGATTCAGCAAGATCTCTAGCGCCCCCATCTTCTCAGCCATCTGTCCCACATCCTCGTCCCGCACTACTCTCTCTCTCTCGTTACTACCGCGCCTCGCCTCTTTTGGTCCGCTTTCGACGCGCGAAAGGTCACGTCTACTCTGTCTGCCCGCCTTCTTTCGTTCCACGCTAGCCGACACGCTCCTTCGAAGAATACGAGGTTCCCTCTCGTGAGACAAAAATCGGCGTGTACTAAGCCGTTCTGGTAGGCCCACAGCTCAGACGCTCGGCACAGCAAGAAATATGAGAGAGCGATCCCCATCCACGTCACTAGTCCGAAAGCACTCGTCTGCGCTCTTTCTCTACCAGCAATGATCATCGGCATGGTGAGCGGTTGCCTTACCAACGGTTTCGTCTCTGCCCTCGCATGCAGTCTGTCTATTGCCTTCCCAACAGCTACCACTCTGAAGTGAGACGTGGGCAGCTCCCAGCCTGCGTACAGTTTATGGAAGTACTTGATAGCCGCGAGGTACCCCTTCACCGTTTGGCTCTGGTTCTTGTACACTAAACACCTCGACGCCATGAACACAGCTCTCTCACTGCGCTATCCACACCGTCTTCTTCGTACAACCATGGACTCAGATTCGCTTTAGCTCTTTCAGCTGTCCACGTGTCCTACTTGCTGTGGTATCCCTTCAGCGTGCTCGCGTTGAGGAAGCCGTGCTCCATAATCCTGAGGAGCCTTTCGCCTTCATCGCTCGTTCCCTTCGTCCCGTGTTCGCTTCTTGCGCTTGAACACGTTAGAGTCATCACACCTTTTGTTTAGTTCTTTTGCTATCATTCTCTCATCACTTCTTCTCTTTACACGCTTGCCATGCGGCTCCACACGAGGCCATCCATTCTTTGGTTCAGGAGTTTCTCCTGCAGTATCATTTCAATTAGTTCTATTCCGTTGTCTCCGATGTCTTGCAATCGCCAGTTATCGTCGTGCGTGAGTCTTTCCACGTTGACTTTTGCGTCCTCTGACTTCCATCTAGATATCCCGTCCGCGAGGGTATTCTCGCGTCCCGGGATGTGTTTCGCCACGTGACACCATCCGTTTTCAATCTCCATACATACGACCAAGCAGTCTCATGAGCAGTCCCGCTCGCCTGTCTCTCGAGCCCCCGCATCTGTTTACCCATGATACCGCCGACACGTTGTCTCCCCTCATCATGATAGCTTGTCCGGGTTGCGTCGGCTTTTCTCCCACAACCATTTGGACCACCCCGCATGTAATTATCATCCCGAGCAACTCTAGCGTGTTGATCGTGATTGCGCTGGTTTCTTTGGCTTCTGCTTTCCTTTTCAGCTCCGCGGTAAACGCGGGTTGAAATCGATACCGCCAGAACACTTTTGATTCGGGACAGTGTCCGCCTACCGCGTCGAAGCTAGCATCCGATAGGTAGTGACGGAGAGGCGTGCGTTGGACGTGGTTAAAGAAAAACGCGCTAAGCGACTCTTCTTTCTCCGCGAGTTTAACTTCCAGCGCCCATCTCCAGAAGCCTAGGTCTCCGTGGAACTCCCAACCAAGACGTACCTGCCGCTTCTCCCTCGACTGTCTGTTAGTCTTGTTGTGGAGGCCGGTGAAGCGTAAGAGGTGCCATACGAAATATTTCCCCGCCCTCATGACGTACGTCAGGTTCCAGAGTTTTCCCGCCATACTCAGGGCTCCTTGCACACTGGCGAATTCTCTGGTCTGTGGCCAATTGTTCTCTAGCGCGGTCCTTATCGCGTCGATCCTCTCACGTGTTGTCGCGATCGTCATTTTATGGGTGTCTATCGTGTGTCCGAGAAAGTCCACTTTCGTGTTCCAGTCTGTGCTTTTCTTCGGGGCAAGCATGGGCGTTTGGCTCGCCTCTGATGGCCCGAAGAGTCTCACAGTCAGACGCTAATGACGCGGAGGCTACTAACGCTGATGCGTCGTCTGGCGCATGTTGTACTTTCAGTAAAGCGAAGTTGTCTACGTACACCCCGCACGAGAACTCATCGTGTGGTCCGCCTCCGTCGTGCGGTTTCACGTTGGCATCTCGGGGCACTCGGGCGGGTTGTCCGTCTTCCGACGGCTCGACTATTTTCACGTATGACATCATTTCGATCCCTTCGTCTACTAGTTGTACGGTATGTACGTTGGTGTTGCGGTGTGAGTGTTCAGCGGCGGACGCCATGACTCCCTGNAGCGGCGGACGCCATGACTCCCCATTACCGGGCGAACCTGCCCATCCAAACGTCAGTCTGAAGAAACATAGCAGAATTTTTGTGCATCGTCTGGCGCAACTCTCACGTTTCGGTAAGCGTTGTTCACGTCCGCCGTGGACACTAGTATCCTCTTGTCAGGCCATTTGACTCTCAAGCGCGTTATTTCAGAAAGGAAAGCAGGTAGAGTCTCTCCTCACAAACAGTCGGGTACTTCTTCCGATACCGTATCGACGTTGACTCCTCCCTTCTGTCCGCGCAGCAGCTTGGGGTCAAAAGAAAAATCGCTGATGATTGTGATTTTTGTTCCTACCACTGCTCCTAGCGGCAAGACGCGTATGCCCTTCATGCAAGTTGCGTCCGCTACGTTGAATACGAGGCATCTGTTCTGTTCGACGTCGTCTATCAGCTTCTTCCACACCAGTTCCATGTGGGCGTCTATCGTACTGTGATTTCCGTATCGCAGAGCGATCTCGAGGTTTGGCGGGCTGTCGTGTGTTTTCGCTGGCACACCGTTGTCTATGATGTCTACGAGATTCGTTAAGTCTGGGAAGCGTTTTTTGGTTCCGA